TCTTCTCTGTTGTTATTCTTTTTCATTCACTCTTCTTCTCATCCATCTCATCTCCTTATTCTCTTCATTCTTCTACTCTTTCTTGTTTGTTCTTCTTCTCTTTCTTTCTCAAATAAAAAATGATAAATGAAAAGCTAAAAAGATTAAACATAGCAACTATATACATAGTAAACAAACTGAAAAAAATACATTTAACATATAAGAAATTAATTTCGACTAAAAAGTGTTGATGTTTGCAAAGACATTTCTTTTGAAAAATCTAAATAGAGAACAATTTTAGACAAAACAAATTAGAAAAAATAAATAACGTGAGTTATTGTTTTCATTTCCTTCATAATTTATTGAAATAATATTATAATAAATAGTTTTTATTTTGTTAATTGTGAATTATGAAAATCTTTTATTAATTTACTGATTTTTTTCTTATTATTAATATGTTATTATATCTACAATAAAAAATATTAATATTATTTAGAATGTTTTTAAGAATATTCTAAAACCATGTTTTTTAGAATATGCTTTAAATTTTATGCAGTTACTGTTTCTTAATTAAACATATTTTGATTTTTATTCGGAAGCTTATTCCATAATTTCAGTAATCTGAGTATTAATAAAATATTATAATATTTAGTGCAATCATTTATTTTTAATTAATCATAGTGCTTATAATTTTGATCATGATGTTTTAAAATTTGAATTAATTTAATCAAAAATTAAATTCATATTATTGCACTAAACATATAACAAATAATATATATTTATTGTTTTCCTAACATATGTGTGGTTATATTATTGCTTAATAATAAGAATTTAATTGTTATTTTATATTGTGTAAATGAATATAATTTAATTATATATATTAGTAATTATAATTTTTATTTTTTTATAAACATATTTGTTTGGTCTATTATATTGTCAGAATAATAAATATATGAAAAATATTTTTTGTTATATTTATTTTGCAAAATGTTGTATATTGTATAAATATTTATGATTTAATCATATATGTATATAGTAATTATAATTATCATTTCGTTGTATTTAAATTTGGGTGTAATTAACTCTAAGATTAATTAAAATTTTCGAAATAATTAATTTTTTCTATATTTAAAATTATTTAATGTGTTTGGTAATTGGAGTTAAACTAAGCTAAATAATATTTGAAAACTAATGTGTTTGGTAATAGATATATGAGAATTAAATAAAGAAAAAAAAATAAAATTAATTGGTTGTATTAACAAATGATTAAACTACCATTAATGAATTTCTAGAGAAAACAAAAAAATCAATGGCATTTCATGTAATATAACACATGAAATGTGCCTAAACATTAGAGTGTCTCTCAAATAATAGTATGGATTTGAAGAAGTTTTTTAAGTAGTGTTAGGCATCTATAAAGAAGAGGATATGGTTATGTATTTAGAGTTATCAGAGAATATTTGTGGTTTCAAAAAATAAGTTGTTGCTTTTATTTAAGACAGATTGAGTACTTGAATAAATGCATAGTCAGTCATATTGCTTTCAAAAAGAAGAAAGAAAGTTCTGATTATGGTGGAGGGATGTCAATTTGGGCCAAAACCCAGAGCCCGGCCCGGCCCGGCCCGGTCCTAAAAAATACCAGGTTTGGGTTTTCATATAAAATCTCAAAAAAAATCGGAATTTTTGGGCAAAACCCATTCGGGCTAAGCCCGATCGATCTCGGGCTTACCTGAAAAGCCTTGTACTTTATATTATAATTTTATTTAGAAACTTTTATTAATAAATTATCTTCACAATTTTTAAAAAATAGAGTTATTAATTTTTTTATAATACTCTTTAATAATATAAAACCTTAATTTTTAGTTGTGTGCCTTCATATAACATCAATGCTCAAACTAAACTAGTTTCAAGAAGCACTCATACCTTCATCCTGAAGATTCTCATCTCGATTCTGCCCTTTCCACTATTTACATTACTTATTTATTTAATTATATTTGATGTTAGAATTTATATGAATTTATAAGTTAAAGTTTTGCTTTCAGATTTTGATAAAACTATATTTATGATTATTTTTAAAATTTATTTTATTTATTTAAAAAGCCCGAAAAAAACTCGATAACCCTGTTAGGGCTGGGCCAGGCTTCAAAATATAAGACCGATATATTATCGGGCCGGCGGGCTTTATGGATTTCGGGCCGGGCCAGCCCGTTTGACAAACTTTACCAACTTATGTCATGTTATGTTTCTTTCTCCCTCAAACTTTGCTAAAGAAGTTAAATGGTGCTATAACCCGATTCTGGTGGAGTACTAAACAAAAAAATCGAAGGATGTATTGAATTGCATGAGATAAAATATGTGCCAGATTGTGCAGGTTTACTCTAAGTCTGGTATGTACTCCGTAAGGACTGGCTATGATTTGGTGGTACAAATGAGAGACGACGAAGGTATGCTACCAGTTATCGAACCGAGCTCAAACTAAACTAGTTTCAAGAAGCACTCATACCTTCATCCTGAAGATTCTCATCTCGATTCTGCCCTTTCCACTATTTACATTACTTATTTATTTAATTATATTTGATGTTAGAATTTATATGAATTTATAAGTTAAAGTTTTGCTTTCAGATTTTGATAAAACTATATTTATGATTATTTTTAAATTTTATTTTATTTATTTAAAAAGCCCGAAAAAGCTCGATAACCCTGTTAGGGCTGGGCCAGGCTTCAAAATATAAGCCCGATATATTATCGGGCCGGCGGGCTTTATGGATTTCGGGCCGGGCCAGCCCGTTTGACAAACTTTACCAACTTATGTCATGTTATGTTTCTTTCTCCCTCAAACTTTGCTAAAGAAGTTAAATGGTGCTATAACCCGATTCTGGTGGAGTACTAAACAAAAAAATCGAAGGATGTATTGAATTGCATGAGATAAAATATGTGCCAGATTGTGCAGGTTTACTCTAAGTCTGGTATGTACTCCGTAAGGACTGGCTATGATTTGGTGGTACAAATGAGAGACGACGAAGGTATGCTACCAGTTATCGAACCGAGCTCAAACTAAACTAGTTTCAAGAAGCACTCATACCTTCATCCTGAAGATTCTCATCTCGATTCTGCCCTTTCCACTATTTACATTACTTATTTATTTAATTATATTTGATGTTAGAATTTATATGAATTTATAAGTTAAAGTTTTGCTTTCAGATTTTGATAAAACTATATTTATGATTATTTTTAAAATTTATTTTATTTATTTAAAAAGCCCGAAAAAGCTCGATAACCCTGTTAGGGCTGGGCCAGGCTTCAAAATATAAGCCCGATATATTATCGGGCCGGCGGGCTTTATGGATTTCGGGCCGGGCCAGCCCGTTTGACAAACTTTACCAACTTATGTCATGTTATGTTTCTTTCTCCCTCAAACTTTGCTAAAGAAGTTAAATGGTGCTATAACCCGATTCTGGTGGAGTACTAAACAAAAAAATCGAAGGATGTATTGAATTGCATGAGATAAAATATGTGCCAGATTGTGCAGGTTTACTGTAAGTCTGGTATGTACTCCGTAAGGACTGGCTATGATTTGGTGGTACAAATGAGAGACGACGAAGGTATGCTACCAGTTATCGAACCGAGCTTTACCCCACCCCCCCCCCCCCCCCCCCCCCCCCCCCCCCCCTCTAAAGAGTAAAGTCTGGGCTTTAAAGACCTCCCGGAAGATAAAACACTTCATGTGGCAGGCTCTTTCGGGTTGTATGACTACCAGTACCAATAGCCAACTAACATATCGTCACTGGGTGACAGATAGCCGCCGTCAATGCTGTGGTCTGTAGGGTAGAGATAGAGTCTATCAATCATGTACTCTTTAAATGCCCTATAACGCTATAAATATGGGCTTTAAGTGCAATCTCATCTCCTCCGGGTATCTTCCCGAGTACGTTAATCTCCCAAAGCTTTGCACATCTCTTCTTTCGATCCCAACACAAGGAGAAGCTGCAAAGTCTTTTGAGGCCTTCCCCTAGATTCTATAGTATACATGGAAGGATAAGAATGAAAAAAAATTAATAACAAAAATATTGTGCCAACAGACACCCTGGAGTGGCTATGCAAAAAGAGGAATCATGGAAAGTTGCACATAAGATCTCAGAGATGGAAAACTCCCAAATTTCAGTCAGGCATTAAATATGCTTGTAGCAAGGACAGTGACAAGCCAGATGGATAATAAACATCTACTCCTGAAATCCCAAGTAGATGCCTCCAGAGTAAAGGATAGAGGCATATTAGGCAGGGGTCTTTACTTGATTTGGCTAATGCTAATCATATATATAGGCTGATGGTGACATAATAGTTTTTTTTACCTTTACATGCCGAATTTAAAATCCTTTTTGGGCTATGAAAGTATTGATTCTTATGCAGATTTCCGACTTGGTGATTGAGACAGATTGTTTAAAGTTGCTCAACCTAATGGAAGAGGAGGAAAAATGACTCTCATTTTCTTCATCCTGATTTTCCGACTTTGCAACTTTTGCATCCTAATTTTCATAATTTTATCATAATCTTTACCCAACATTTTCTTAATGTCTCAACTGATTGTTTTGTTAAAAATATTAAAACACAAGATTTAATATTTTTTTGTGTAGATTCATTTTTTTTAGAGTGGTTGATTCTCAAGTCTTAATATTTCTAGATCTCAAATTTAATATATGAAATTTTTGCAGAAAATGAAAAAAAAGTCTTTGAAGTTCAAATCTCATGTGAAATCGATAAACGATGACACACTCCAATTTGAGATTCTAAAAAATTGATAGATAATTTTAAAAAAAAACTGTTTTGAGTTTACTTTAATCCCAAATGGATGATCTAGAGTATCTGATTATAGACGATTTTATAAGATAGATTAGATAGTTTTAAAAATTGTTTGAATTTATCTTGAATGGATAATCCACGACAGGTGAGATAATACATATCCACCGTGTTTTGGCTGTTCCCATTACTTTCGAACTGAGGATTATTATTTAACGAAAGAAACGAAACCATAAAGTTGGTAATCCAACGTAACCATAAAGCAACTCTCAAATCATACATAAGGAGATGATTAAAGAGAGAATGCAATCATCGAACCTAAAAAAAGGGTCTGAGATTAAAATAAAAAACAGAAGTGTTCAAAAAGAAAGGAAATTTTCCAGAGATGAGGTATTTGTCTGTACCTTGTTCATCATGATACGACTAGAAAAAAAAAAAGGATTCAATGTCTTCAAACTCTAAGACCAGAGACTCTCAAAACATTTATTACGGCAGGGAGACTCATATGAACAAAATATATGAAATACATGCTCATATTTTCCATCAAAATCAAAATGGTGGTTGGTTCAGGATTTACCGCACAGGCTGTTGGTTATAGTGGTTCTTCTCCTTCTTCTTTGCAGCGGCCAGCTTCGCGCGTCTTGCAGCCGCCTCCTGCGCGGCGGTTTTCGCTGCAGCATCCGTCTCTTTGCTTGATTTCTTCTTCCTCATGGATGCAATCTTTTTTAGCCTCTCCTTGACATCCATTGCAGATTCTTCCTCAGTTGGTTCAGACCCGGTAGCTTCATCTACAACACTGTTTTCTTGCTGCCCTTGAGATTCTTTGACCTCCTTTTGCTTATCCTTCTTCTTCTTCTTTTTCGATGCCTTTGATTCCCCACCTGCTGCATTTTCCTTCTTCTCTCCCTCTCCATTGAGCTCTTCTTTTTTTTCTTGCTTAGCCTCTGTGAAAGAACACACACAAGGTATTATCAGTATTAGCAAAAGGCTAGACAGATCATAAACATTCTGATTTTCTCAGCAAGAAACATTAGAAATGCCAATACGGTACTATTGTAGAGCACAGTTGTGTAAAACAATCAGTTGCCAATACGGTACTAAAGATGTCGGAATTGAAACAAAAGTACCTTGAGAATCTTCTTGGCCATTAGTCTCCTTAGGGGCAACTCCAAAATCTGCCAACAAAGCCTCAAGCTCAGCAAGTTCTTTCTTTTTCCTCTCTTTCTTCGAAAGTTGCCTCTCTGCCTCTTTAGGAGGTGCAGGAACTTCAGGAGCTTTCTTCACCTCAGGCTCTGGTTCCGGAAGAACTTGCACCTCTGTTTCCTGTTCCTGATCTTCCTCGACATCATCATCACCTTCATCAAGAATGTCTTCCTCACTTTCACTTTCCTGACAATCAAAGCGAGAGAATCCCATCAGAGACAATGAAAAACCACACATGGAATCTGGACACTAAACCAAGTAAACCTGAACCATCAAGTCAATATATTAGACATGCCTATGCAAGTAAATGCAACCACAAAATAGATACGACACATAGGTGAAAACATTCAAGAAGGAGAAAGCAACTAGCTGTATATAGGGAGGAACACAAAACAAACTCCTTTCTCTAAGCCAATAAAACCACCAAAAACAAAATTGATACCTTTGTAACAATTTATGAGAACAATAAACAGCAGAACAGAAGTCACAAAGAGAATCATTAAGCAATAGACAGAGAGCCTTAATTACTGCCATCAAGTCAAATCCCAACAGGCATACAGCAAAAATCACAACCAATTTCAGCAGCGAGAGAGGCAAAAGAGAAGTCCTGATTCAAAACAACTCAATAGAATGACAACACAAATGGGTTTTTCGACTTCTAACCTCAACTTGAGTGTCTTTGGCATCAGTACGGGATGGCTGAGAAGTGCTCCAACCAGTCTGGATAGGAGCAGTGGTGGCATAGTAGTCCTCATCATCATCATCATCATCAACATCAGCCCAAGACTGAACTTTCAAAGGCGTAGGTGCCCAGAAAACCTGTGGCTCAGGCTCCTTCTCCTGCTCTTGCCTTGACGATGACTTAGAGGACCCTTTGCTCTTATCAGACTTCTTCTTCTTGCGAGTGTCCAAAGCTGCGAACAAATTGGTGCTCTGAATCGTGATCGATCCTTCGTCTCTCTTGTTTCCACCTCCAGCCATCTTAATCTCTCTCAAGCAAACGCGATTCAGATAAATCAACAGCAAAAATAACCCAAGATCGAGATAGATCAACAAGCTTCTTCTGATAAAACCTAGATTACGTATCCCTGATTTCACCAGAAAGTATATAAACAAAGGGAAAGAGACCTAGAAGATGAAGCTAACACAAACCAAAATAACAAAAACACAAAAATTGAAATCTGCGCCGATTTTCTATGCAATAACAAATCTTTGATAGAAAGTCCTAGACTCGTGACTAACCACTGATTGCCCAAAAGATAGAACAGTACAACCCGATGGATTGGATTGAAAAATTAGGACTGGAGATGAGAAATCATAAAATCCACCGGAGGATCAACGGAAAGGAGCGAGAGAGAAGAAGAGAAACTCCGATTCGTGGAAGAGTTTTCCCTATGGGAGATAGGGTTTTGCGTCTTCCCTGTTTAAGGATGAGGAAATCTGGGTGTAGCAGCCGTATAGGTTAGGGCTAAATCGAGAGAAGGAGATAACGAGAGTGAGAGCCAACAAAAAGCTCGTGTCCCTGACTTTATATTAGTTATGTAAATTTACCTTTTAGTGCCTAAAAATTTTTGGTTATTCTTTTTGTTCAGTGTGTTTTAAGGTTATACATTCTAGCCCAAACGTTTTGGAGGTAAAAAGCCTGTTTGGGTCGGATTTCGGATCTGTAATGCTGCACTTGTGTAACACCCACCCAGACCGCTTCTATCATTGGCCTCTATGTCCTCTCTCGGGCATGTGGACCCTAGTCTTATCTGAAGGTTGATGTATTAGTCGGTAGACTCGAAAATTATGATATATTGACTTTGTAATTGTAGGATAATTTTTTTCTGTGTTTTTGTTCGGTCCAATCAAGTTTAACCGTAGAGTTTTCTCCTCACCAGATAAGATAAGTGTACTTTAATAGAACAGATAACTAAATCAATTTTTTAGGCCTCTTCATATATATATATGAGATATTAACGGAAAAAAGTACTTTTGTCTTAGTTATATCAGTAAAAGGCACTACCAACAACTAGAGTACTTCTTATTGATGGAATGACAAGTATACCCTTACCTTAGCTTCTTCTGTAAGATTTATCTATAATATTTTACAGCTGTAAAAACTAACTAATTTACTGGATCGGAGGATAGATCTGAAATCACTACTACGGCGTAGGCGAACCCTATCTGCGCATCGTGATGGCGGATCCATTATCGATTTCGGAGATCCCTTTGTCTTTGGTTTTGGTGATGACGACGGTGGAAACTGTAGATCCAGGTAACCAATAATTTTTTTGTTATGACTTGTTTAAGATTCTCAAGTATTGAAGTTATCGAATTTAAGTTTGGGGGCGAATCTCTAATTGTTTCGATCTTGTTTCGATGTTGCAGAAGTTGACGGGAATCTTACTCATAACGCGAAGTTGCCGCCGCGGTTGTTTGCGACGGATCGGTTCCCTCTGCGAGGGTTAATATCTACTCAAAAACTGACTTGCTTACCACTATTCATGAGATACTCGACGATTCACCAGAGTTCGACTTCATCCGCTCTACGTGCTTTGGAGTCTTATTCGATTTCTCGGCGAGCTTATGTCAAAACTCCGGGAAGCTCGTCCACGCTATGTTGACGAGACAGTTGTTGTCCAAGAATAAGTACAAGATGTGGACGGTATACGGTGGACATCCCCTAAGATTCAGTCTTTCTGATTTTGGTAGGGTATCTGGACTCCCATGTGGAGACTATCCCGAGAACTATGACCCAAATTTGATGGAAAAACACCCACGGGACGCAGACGCTTTGTGGAGGGAGATAATTGGGGACTCAATTCACACCACAATTGGAGACTTAGCCGATGAGCTGAGAGCGAATCCAGAGATGCCACCGAAAAGAAGGATACAGCTGGCGCTTATTACGATAGTTGACGGTGTCCTCATTGTGAGTGCGGCGATCCACAGACCTACCCTGAAATACGTTAAGATGCTCGATGACATGGAGTCGTTTCTTGAGATTCTCTTGGGGGAGGGAGTCTTTCTTCCGCACTATTATCACGATGAGGCCACTGCACAATGGTAAACATGATGATCCTAACAAGGTGTTCTGTGATCAACTGTTGACGGGATCAATGCGGGTGACGGGCTTCCCACTGATTCTTCAGATGGTTGCATATAGAGCGATACCTCTTCTAGCTGCGAAACTACCTAATATATCGGACGAAACACCGTTGTTGGAAATTAGCGGTGAGGACATCCCCAGACACAGACGCATTTCGATGGATGATATAATCGAAGTAGAGAACGATCCCAAGGTGAGCTAGTTGGTTAAGTTTAACTTTTATTTGTTGAAATCATACATCGTTTGCAGTCGGCAACGTACACGCTGAAGCATACTATGGTTCTATGCTTAGTCATCCATTTTCGTGCATCTATTTTTGATATTGACTGTGGCTGTTTATTTACAACCCATGTTGTTGTTCGTTCGCGCTGGACCATCCATGAAATGTAGTCCATTGCATTGTATCCATAGTTCAGAGTCCACTGTATTACTAGCTTCAACGCTTATTAGTTTGATCTTATGGGTATGGATGAGTGTCTGACTATATTTCCTGCAGCTAATTGTGCAGCCAATGATAGAGGTTGGAGAAAAGCGAGAACCAGCGGAGGAAGGGTGGGGGAAGTGGGATGACGAGGTCAGAGATAGGAGGGTGAAGTACCTAAAGAGGAAGCTAAAGGAAGGATATGTATTTGGGAAGGGCGAATGGTGGGGTGGCAACGACACGCAACCACTAATCGTTGTGAAGGAAGCTATTCCCAAAGGCGAACACATTAAACATGTCCATGATCAGAGGAGGGTTAAGAGGAGCAAGCCCGCCGCATCTAAACTTGGTGTCCGAGACATGCCTTCCACCTCGAAGGCATCTTCATCTGGCGGAAGTAGGCGTCGGGACAGTGTTTCGACAGAGAGTCAATTGGAGTGGCTGATAGCGGAGATGAAAGAGAGGTGTGAAGACATTAAAAACTAAAGCAACAGAAACATGAGATGATGAGGATTTTGAAGGGCAGAGGAACTGTTGACACGAGGCAACGTTTGTCACAGCTTAGGAAGATGCAAAGCCGCAGGCGCAGGAAACAATCGAGGAAAAAAGACGAGGTAATTCGATAGTGTGTGTACGGGGTGCATCATCCATATTCGCATGTGGTTAAGGTCGTATGTTATTCGTTATGTGATTGTTCTTGTTGTCTGTGGACGTAGTTGGTTGGATGGTTCTTACCCGTTACCAATCCATAGTTTTCAATCCGTAATGTTATTTGACTATGGATGAGTTTGGGTGTTTTCGATCCATATGGTTTTCGGAAATTTGATAGGACAATTCGAATAATAAGCATTGAATGTGCCTATTTTTCGTGTGCAGACCGATGGTGGAGAAGGAAACATGGCATCACTCTCTTTTGAGGTTAGTTTGAAAGAAGGCAGTAAGTTGCCCCGCGATTGGATGGAGGAGCCTAACCTATCTCCGGAGAAGGTAGAAGATAAGTCACAGGAAAGCGGCGAGATGGATGGATTGCTAAGTCCGGTTGGGAAAAAAGAGGATGCATTGAAGAGAAAGAGGAGCATTTCTCCGTCCGGGGATGAGAGGGAAGAGAAAGAAGAGTTAAAGATGGGTGATGAGGTAAGTTATTATCTTCGTCCCGTCTATTATAAACTCGCATATTATCATCGACCTGACAAATATGGACAACCTAAGATTGAGGTAGGTATGGGAGGAAGTGCCGTGGGGGATGAATCAAAGGCAATTGGCTCCATAGACGAGGCATTACAGACGTCTGATAGGGAGGCTGCAGCAAATATAGTAACACTCATATCCTCGTTCATAAGCTTATAATTTTCTTAACTTCGGTTGGTCTCGCGAGACCGTCCACGCGAGACCGTCCACGCGAGACCGTCCACGCGAGACCGTCCATGCGAGACCGTCCACGCGAGACCGTCCACGCGAGACCGTATCCATTAGTTGTTGCCTATTCTAATAACATTTGCAATTGTAGGAGATTTCTGATAAAGGCCCTCCAGCTGAGATTGGGGAGGATAAAATTGCCGTTGAAACCAAGTCCGGTCGTCGAGTGGTAAAAAGGTACATATACACACCGTTGCTTTTGGTTACATCTATGTCGTGGGGGTGTCTAACAAGTATTGCGTGTTTTGTAGTCGACACCGGAAATGCCAAGGGCGGCGTCTGTGTTGACTTCGCCCCCGAGGGTAGATGAAAAATCTCCAGAAGCAGTAATTGGTTCTGTGCTGAAAGATCTTGAGGAGACTGCAGAGAGACAGGTTATTGGCGTGAACATTTTTTTATCCCCAAATGATGATTATTTGGATGTGTTTAAATAGATTAATGTACAGGTCCAGCAGATGGATATGTCTAGTTTGCCAGGCTGTGCGGGTACGAATGTTGATACAATCTGTATTAGTGATTGTTCAGCTGTGTCAGAATCGACTAGGCACAAGCCTACTGAAGTGGAAAGGGAGCTTGCACTAACATTGCTAGCGAATCAAAGCAGAGCACCAGTCAGTGCCCTTCCCACATTGGACGTTGACATATGGAAGCAATTCGAGCGAACGCTTGGCTCGTGTGGCTCTGTGTAATATACGCAACCTGATTCTGCGATTTCCATCGTCATTATATATTGAAATTTTTTTCATCCCAACGAATTACTTGGAATGTCAAAAACGCAGGAAACACCTTACGCATGTGGGGATCGAGATCAACAACAACTTCCTGCTTGACCTGGCAAAACCTAAGAATTGGGTAAACACAAAGGTAGATCGTCCGATATTGTGATTTATACGTGCATCTAATTTCGAAACAGAAAGTTCGACATGTTTTGAGAATGAACGTTTTCACTCATAGTTTGTTAATAGTTAGTATGTCAAATTCACCCCATATTCGAGTCGTCCATGATATGTCGTCCATCTTTCCTCGTTAGAAGATTGCCATCCACGCATGTTGTCCAGATTTTTTCTTGCACGTTTCGTGCGTCGGTATTTTGTCATCCACATTCGTGTATCCATATTTTCTCATCCATATTCGTGTATCCATATTTTGTCTTCCATATTTTGTGACCATTAATTAGTCTTCGCCGATGCTTATAACCATCTATAGTTAGTAAATCTTCCACAGTTCATCTATAATGTTTTGTATTCTCCAGTAATTAGGAACTAACTCTGGATTTTGAATGCAGCACATTGAATTGCTGATGTCCTTTTTTGGGGGAGAAACATGCTGAGCTTATTGAGAAGGAACATGCTTGCTTTACTGCACCTTGGCTAATGGACACGATCGACATTGAGCACCGATCATGGAAATCCACAAAAAACAAGAAGGCTTGCAGGTGGGATGACAGGCTCCGACACTTCGTGGCAGCTCCAGGAAAAACTTGGATCACCGATGTGGAAACTGTGTACGTGCCAATGATATGGCTGTCGAAGCATTGGGTGGGCCTTGTGATTGACCTGAAGATGCAATGGGTGCATATACTTGACCCAGATCCCTCGTGGAAAGATGACAAGCATGTTGATAAAATCATGGGTCCCGTACTTGACTTCCTGCCTCATATCATCCGCAACCTTTGCCCATCGGACCCTTCTCAACCCGCAGTTCCAACACCGTTTATGTGGCATAGGGTGCAGGATGTGTACGTCAACAAGAGAAGTGGGGACTGCGGTCCGGTTGCAATGAAGTTTATGGAAATGCACGCTCTTGGGGACCCTGCGCCGCATATGAGTGGAATAACGGACGAGATGGTTGATGATTTTCGGAAGCAATACGCTATGGATCTGTACAAGGAGTTGGTGCTTCCGCTGTACGAAGAAGGTAGTGTTGGCGAAAGGGGGTAATGTTGTATGTGTTTGTGTATTTTGTAAGACAATGATTTGATGGGGCATGTGGCTGCCTATTAGGAACTTAAAGGCCAGTAATTTTTTGTTAACTCGACAGTCTTAGGCCGTCGATGGTTAGTAGTGGCCAGCGGTGTAGGTGCTGTTTTGATGAATTTATGTGCCATATTTTTTTGTTCACGGCCAGTACCATTGGTCGTGGGTTGTTGTAGAAGGCAAAAGAAAAAGCTGATTGTAATGTTAACTTAATTAAGTTAGTAGCTGTTTCTATTTTTTCTTTGTTTATTTTATGTAATTTTTTTAATGATATAGTCTGTAATAGGGGTAATGTGGACACAGTTAGTAGGTGGGATAGTTGTGGACTCTTAATTGTAGGGAGCGATATCGTCGACCATCCACTATGATAATGTGGGTGCGACCATGTGGATGCGGCTTTGTTGATGCGACCATATGGATGCGGCTTTGTTGATGCGACCATGTGGATGCGGCCATGTTAGTTGATGTAAGCTATATGTGGATGGAAAGCAGACGATGGATGTTAGGGCGTGGATAGAAGACGATGGATGTTGTATAGTGTACATGTGATTGACGTGACGATAAATTAATTTGGTGAATAATTGTAGAACATAAACAGACAAATAATTGGGGACATTGTCTACATTGAAATTGTGGACAAGTAAAGATGGATGGATAAAGAAAGATGTGAACATTATTCACCGCTCAGTAATAATACATCTCGTCGGATCGAATTGGGGGTCGTTGATCCTGCTTACTTGGCGAACCATTCAATTAACCTTCCCAAAAACGTGGATAAAACAGCTACCATTAACAATGTTGGGTCGTTGATGTGCTTTGAAAAATTTGATTTCAAAGAAAAATGAAGAGGGTTTGTCTGGGCTTTGAGAACTTCTATCTCATTGAGGACGGTATGGACGGTGCAGGAAAGATGGCTATGTATTGATGGCCGCGTGGATGGGCCCTATAGATGCGGAGATATGGATGACGTGGTAAGGATGGTTGTTGTTGTGGATGGGATATTATGGATAGGATGACGCTTTTGCCGAAACTTTATGAGATTGTTTGTAAGTTATATAGGTGTGGTTATGTGGGCAGTGTGAAAATTTAAGGCAAAATGACGATCCTGGTGAAAGGGAATATTAACACAATAACGAATGTGTTGAAACAAAAGTGACAACAAATGCTTAAAGATGTAAGTAGCAAACTAAGTCTTTAGGGTAGTTACTCATTCGTTTGCATAACACACATACCCGGTGGATGTTGAGTAGTGGACATTTAAATATGCCTCTCAATCAAAATAAGAAAAGTCAAAACAGCCGGGATGCGACAAAAAAATAGGAAAAGAGACGATGCTTTTCGGGGTATCCTTCAACAAGGTAGTCGGTGGATACAATCAAAACCAAGCTCATAGTGGGTTGGTACATCTGGTGCGATTATGGCCTGATTGTTGGCAACGTCCACACTTATTCGGCACAGCTTTCTTGTTCCTTGCGGCCTACAAAATAGGAAACACAAAACATATTTTCAGTCACGTCCATGTCTTGGCATCTATAAAAAACTGTACAAAAGGGATGTTCGAATATAGTGGACGGACTTACTGGGAACTCTCTCGTGGATATGTGACGGTTTACTTTGGGTCTGCCAGAAGGTCTTCTGGTTCTCGGCGGCATTAATAACATCTTGGCAACGAAATCCGGGATTTCTTGGTCTGCGGCTTCGCCTGCGGAGATGATAGTGCCAGTGTATGTGGCAGCCCATGTGGCCGTTTTTAACGCATCACCAACCAACGAAGTGGGGGACACGCCGAAAGTGTCTGCGGCCAGTAACGCGTGACCGCAGGGGATCTTGAGGCAATCGAATTTCCTACACGAGCATCGCTTCTCGTGCAACCAAACGTGGTTGGTGTCCCCGAAATGGCCAACAACTTGACAGCTCCAGCTGGATACAGCGTTGATCTTGCTGCCTTTTGACTCTTTCATCTGCTCTGTTATTACCTTGTCCACCTCAGGGGGAACGTTACCTCGATGCCTCAGTGACTTCTTCCTACGAGCAGCAAACCATCTAGTCATCATCTCCTGGATGAATTGGACGAGTTCAACAATCGGTGACCCCCTTCCCTCGATAAATGCATTGTTGAGTTGTTCCGTCGCGTTGCTAGTCATTAGATTGTATCGCTGCCCTTTGAAAATATGCTCGTGACCAATGGGCGATGCCAATTTTCTCCAAGTACAGCGCGCATTCACTCTTACTGGCTCTGACCTGGTTGAAGAACTTTCTGAAATCACAGATCCTCCAAACGAATGCTGCTTGATCAACGAGTTTCCCTAGTCCTTTGCTGTGGAATCAGGCAGAGATGTTTCGCTCCAGGTGAACTATACAGGCACCGTGTTTTGCTAGAGGGTAGACCCGTGACTTGGCTTTGTATATCGACTGATGTCTATCCGATATTATTGTGAGATTGGGACTGTCGGCCAGAATTGTTTCCAGATTTTGAAGGAACCATGTCCAAGACTTGTCGTTCTCGGAATCTACAACCCCAAACGCGAGAGGGAAGACCTGGAAATTAGCGTCTTGGCCACAGGCGGTCAGAAGAACTCCCTTAAATTTGCCTGTCAGATGAGTCCCATCTATGACGAAGACATGCCTGAGTTTACGAAAACCAGTAATGGAGGCACCAAAAGCAAGAAAAAGATAGTGGAAGCGTTTGACTTCAAACTCATCAACTACGGTCTTCAAATTCACCACAGAGCCCGGATTCGCCAATTTTAGCATATATAGATACTTTGGAAAGGCAGTATAGGACGCATCATCAGAACCCCTGATTTCGGTGATGGCTATTTCCTTGGCGCGGTGACATTTCATGTAGGAATCAGAGCAACGAAGCTCTTCGAGCACCAGTCTCTGAATCTCCGATGCTCGGGGTCCATTAGCAGGATCGCCGAATTTGGCTTTGAAAACTGCAGCTATAACTCTTGATGAAACCTTTTTCTTAAAAGCATTTCGAGTGTCCACGCAACAGGTGTGTTCCAGCTGGGCCTTCCTGATTTCGTAGTATCCACAGTCTTTCATCTCGTGGGCCATAACCCTCCAATCGCACCGTTCATCCACACACTTGACAACAAAATAGTGTCTTTTTGTGGGATATTGTTTAAACTGAAACTGGCCCTTGATTGCATACAAGGCGAGGGCAATCCTACAGTCCGATTTGCTAGCATAGATCTTACCTTCATGGACTTCTGCTTCGCCGTCCCCTGCACCTAGATCAGGGATTTCTGCAGAGTGGTAAGCTGTGTTGTCAAACATAGGTGGAATATTGAAGTCCTCATCATCCACATCCTTTAACGTTTTTGGACGTCCAACTGGCCTGCCATCCACAACTTTCGGGACACCATACCCCGTCCACGTGGATCTATTGATGACGGTCTCAACGTTTGGATAAGCATCGACGTGGGTGCCCTCGGGTACGACTTTGTGGTCGAAAGCATCATTTGTGGTACAGAAGTACTCTCCCTTCATGTCGTTCTCGATTTTCTTCCCATTAAGATCATCGCGCTCTGGACAGAGTACGTCGAAGGCGTCGGTTCCGGCAAGGGGGTCGTCGATGATGTGCTCCTAAAACTCTTTGTCGTAGCCAGCTTCACGAACTTCAACATTAGATGGAACCTCACGGCAATTATCTTCTGAGTCTGATAGTGTTGTCTCTTCGCTGCTGCAACGGCTCTGTTTACGGGTGCTGCCCTCTGCCCACTTAGCCTCCGCTTCCTGAACGTGGCTAAGAATATCTTCATCTTCGCAGTATACAGGCAGGTTCTTCGACCCAACTGATGAACCATAACCACCTCCTTCTTCAAAACCAGAACCACTCCTTGTTGGCTCGTTGAGGGTTTGGAAGACATTTCGCCTCTTCTTCGGTTGAGCTGGTGTGATGTAATCGGCCTCGGAAGAGAAAGACACAAACATGTTCATTCTCCTGTCTGCACGGAGGTGTTTAAAAAAGAAGCTTATGGCCCCTGTATTTGTAACCAGCACCGGCGGTGTAGTTTTCCCGGTCGCCAGCTCCATGCTGTTTAGTGGCCAGTAACTGAGGGAAGGGGAAACGGCGACGACTCCCTCACCGTAGAATTCTCTAAGAACCCTCTCCTTTAACTCAACTAAACCCATATGCTCACTCATTTGGACTACTCTCGACATCATCTGCTTGTCAATAACAAAATCCCACTTACCGTCATCTCCACAGATCCATTCGCCGCACATGACCAAGCAATGTTCGTCCATCTGGATGGAAATTTTGGCAAGGAGAAACTGAGAGGCGAGGGTTTTGGGGGTACATTTACGAGGCCGCGCCAAAGTATGACCGTTTACCCTAGCCACGGCACGAATGCCCATGGTACGAAAATCTATCAAGGAGACCACCACCGTCGGATGGAGTTCATATTTTTCAAAAAAGGGATCGGGTGGACGAGATTTGTAGTTACCCAAAATAGCCTATGGACCGCGGGATATTAGGCAGCATTAGCTATCAAAGATTGGTTTTTTTTTGATGCATTTAACTTTGAAAATAGTCTACTGACCGCGGGTTATTAAGATGCATTTGACAAATTTATTTTGAAACTTTGAAATTTGAACCAAGCTCGAAGTCCGCAGGATGAGTTTGTATATGGATGGGGGAGAATGGACGCGATGAAGTGGATGACACGAATATGGAATTTGGGCACTTAGTGGATAACTATAGTTGACTAAAAACGGAATATAAAATGTACATGATGAGGCGGCGGTGTAATAGTGCGCTAATTGGTTGACTTTATATTCTAGTTTTGTTTTAAGAAGAAATCATTTTCCATCCATTGTTGTATATCCATAGGGTTATGTCCGTGGTAGTTAATCATCCATGTTGAGTCATCCCTTTTCAAGCATCCATACGTTCCCGTCCAATAAGTACCATCTTTGCGAGGGGTGATTTCGTACCGTATTGAGTTATCCTTGTCTTGTCGTCCATTGCGTGTTATCCATGATTGCAACCTTTGTACATGATGAGGCGGCGGTGTAATAGTGTGCTAATTGGTTGACTTTATATTCTAGTTTTGTTTTAAGAAGAAATCATTTTTCATCCATTGTTGTATATCCATAGGGTTATGTCCGTGGTAGTTAATCATCCATGTTGAGTCATCCCTTTTCAAGCATCCATACGTTCCCCCATCCAATAAGTGCCATCTTTGCGAGGGGTGATTTGGTACCGTATTGAGTTATCCATGTCTTGTCGTCCATTGCGTGTTATCCATGATTACAACCTTTGTAGACATCGCTGTTATACTGTTGCAGTTGACTCTTTGTAAAATTTGGTGCCGGTGGGATTACATATCAGGCGAATGCCATCGACGGCAATCTGGGGCGATCCTTGTGTGAAGTACCAAATCATACACATACAAGCAAAGAGATATGACTTGTCGAAATTAGATGGGGTGGAATGTGATCTGGATCTCGAAGAAGGAGGTTGACGGCGGCAACTAGAACTCCAAGGTCGTCGAAGAAGGGGGTTACCGGCATCTAGATTTCGAAGACGGTGGCATCTAGATCTCGAAGATGGATGAGTGTGAGAAAACTGTCGAAGAAGGAGGTTGCCGACGTGGTCGTCGATGAAGGAGATTGCCGGCGTGGTCGTCGATAAAGGAGTAAAAAAAAAGTTATCGATTGAGATGAAAAAAAAAGAATAAGGGTAAAGGGTAATATGAAAAAATCAAGTAGATCAATTCAAAGGAGAAACAAAGCAAAGTAATCCTGTTGACAGAAGTACCTTTTTCTGATATTATAGTTCTTATAAGTGCTCTATTATGTAATATTTTCTATATATATATATATATATATCTTAAAATCCAAGTGTTACAATTCATCCCCACTCAAATAACGGTGAATATATAGTGGAGCTAAAGAGCAAAAAGGTGGTTAGACAAGTGTTATCGTAAGCTTTTCACATGTTCACGAATCTAAGGTACTCTTCGTTACGCACCGAGATTGTCACCCGGACAGTGTGAGTCTTTGTGATTTCACTTTAGTCTAGGTTCGGTTCTGATACCACTTGTGATCAAGGGCGGATCTACATGGTGATGGGGTGGGGCACGTGTCCCACACTAATTGCATAGATTTCTTAATGAGAAAATGTTAGATTATTTGGTTTTTGATAATAACATTTGAAGTTTTTCAGGAAAAGTTTTGTTGTATTTGTCATGTTTTTATTTATTTATTTAAGTTTCATGTAAACCATTCTCATGTCTTTTTCCAACTTTTTTTATCCTTTTATTATTTTTTATTACATTTTATATCTTTTTCTATTTATTTATATTTTTAATATACATATTGTTATTTCTCTTTCTTTGAATTTTAATAAACTAGTTTTTTCTTATTTATTTTTTTACAGTTATATACTTAAAAACAAATAACTAAAGACACTAAATTTTATTAGATGTTTATCAAATAATTTATAGTCTAATTTTGTATAAAAGCCATTTTATTATTATTTATATACTTTTTAAAAGGAGTATATATTTTTTATATGTGAAAATATCTAAAAATTTATGAAAATAGTTTTGTTTATCATTATATTTTAAAAAAACATAAAGTTCAAAATTTATTATAAAATATCATTTTCAATAAAAAATTTACAATTGTAATTTTTTATTATAATATTTTTTTATACCCCATATAAATAATTTTTCTGCGTCCGCCCCTGCTTGTGATGCTTCGACTTCTCCTGTTCGTGGGACCCCATGTCCTCTCTTAGGCTCGTGGGCCTCACCTCTATCTGATATATTGTTTCTGCAACCACCATGTGATATATTCTTATGTTTTGTCCTCACTTACAAGATATCAAAAATCACTTTTTGATATGTCACCCATCACTTTTCGGAATGGAAATCAATTTTTAACTTAGTTTCATTGATTTCCATTCTGCATTTAGAAAATTTACCTAGTTCATTATGTTTTAAGTTAAGATTTCCACATTGCTTTGCATTCATTTGCCTAGTTTACTTTTCACTCTCATCTAAGTTTGATTCTGATACCACTTGTAATGTTTCGACTTCCCCTGCTTGTGGGACCCCATGTCCTCTCTTAGGCTCGTGGACCTTACCTTTGTCTGATATATTTTCCGTGCAACCACCACGTGATCTATTCTCATGTTTTGTCCTCACTTACAAGATATCAAAAATCACTGTTTCGATATATCATCCATCACTTTTCAGAATGTGATGGAGCAAAAGCTACTACGAATAGAATTAGATCAGTTGATTCTAAAAATATCCGGAAACTAGAGTTTGTGAATATTCTTCAGTGTTTATTAAAACCTCTTTTACGGAATCCCTTTTTATTAATTCATCAAAGTCTGAATTACAATGAATGGTTAAATGACTTATTTATAAAAAATCATAAAAAATTTATAATATTTTAGAAAGCTCTAAATAATAAATAATTATTATTTAAATACACAAATAAGTAAATAATAAAGATATTTAAAATATTTGGAAATATTCTAAATATCACGCTGCATCAGGTCTCGCCGGCCAAGAAAGATTCGCCCTCGAATCTTCAACCGATTTTTCCACATCGTTTTGATGTCTTCTTGTTGATGGTACACGATTTTTGCACGAACCAGACTTTGTATAAAATTTGCACAAACCGAATCTACACCAATTTTGCACAAACCGAACTCGCCATAAATCTCTTCTTCTCTTAACTTCTTCGAACACCATCGGTTATGCCCGGAGTTTGCACGGATCTGGATCTGTACAATTTTCGCACGAACCTGATTATGCACACAAATCAGATCTTGCACGGATTCCGCAAGAGCATGCTTGAAAGCATCTTTATGGAACACAAAATCATCATGACGTAGAACCAAAACGTCATTTTCATAAACATCGTAGATTGGATCGCCATAGATCTTTGGGTAGATCTCCTGACTCTCTTCTCTCTCGACAAAAGGATTTTCGTCTTCGAAAGTGTAGATGCAACTACTCATCGTGATCCAGAACCGTTCTTCGATTAAGAAATCAAAGAGACGCAGCTCTGATACCTACTGATGGAGCGGAAGCTACTACAGATAGAAGTAGATCCATTAATTCTAAAAATACCTGAAAACTATAGTTTGTGAATACTCTTCACAGTGGTTTATCAAAACCTCTTTTAGAGAATCTTTTTTTATTAATTCATCAAAGTCTGAATTACAATGAGTGGCTAAATGGTTTATCTATTATAAATCATAAAAACCCTAGAATATTTTAGAAAGCTCTAAATAATAAATAATAATTATCTAAATACACAAATAAGTAAATAATAAAAATATTTATGATATAAGGAAATCAATTTTTAGCTTAGTTTCATTGATTTCTATCTGTATTTAGAACTTTTACCTAATTCATTATGTTTTAAGTTGATTTCCTTTTTCCATATTGCTTTGCATTCATTCGCCTAGTTTACTTTTCTTTTGCATTCCTTTTTCCTTTCCCGTTTACTTTATAGTACTACAAATACTGTGATAAACCCTCAAAGCCCACTAAGTTTTGTTGTCTTTGGTCACTCTAATCATATTCCAATTTTACAATAAATTGTCTATCATGATTCGACTCCTAAATACTCCAATCGCACATGGCATTTGCAGATTAGGGTTTATAAATTATAAACTCAAAAAAGAATCCCACAAAGATAGATCAAATTTTTGTTGCATCAAAACCTCATTATCAAGATTTTGGCGGCGTTGTCACCCCACATCCCCCCCCCCCCCCCCCCCACAAAACAGCGTCATGAAACTTTATAGGGAGGTTTTGATGCAAGAAAACCTTATGCGTCTGCGTCTGTGTGGGACTCTCTTTTATGTTTTAGATTTATAAACTCTAATCGATAAGTGCGCATGTGCGACTATAGGATTCAGGAGTAGACCACAGTGGATGATTCACTGCAAAATCAGAAAATTGTTAGTGACCAAATACAGCAAAACTTTGTGGGTTTTGATGGTTTGTCATGGTTTTTGTAGTATTGAAACATAAACAGGAAAAGGAAAAAATAAATGCAAAGGAGGAAAAGTAAATTAGGTGAATAAAAAGCAAAGCAATGCGAAAAAAGAAAATCAACTTATAACTTAATGAACTAGGCGAGAATTCTAGGTGCAGAATAAAAATCGATGAAACTAAACTAAAACTAATAAGTAGGGGTTATTGGTTCTTGTATTTTGGTGGATTTATAAATCTTCTTTGGATTTGATAAATTTATTGATTTCAAAATTAACAAAATGAAAAAAATCAAATCCACTCAAATACCAAGGTTAGATCTTGTATTTGGGATCTTTATATTTTAGTCATGAAAATCCTTCCAAATCCATTCAAATTCAATTAAAACTC